CTGTCATCGTAGGCCAAAACTTATCGATAGCATTTAGTTCAATAATTGATTCCATCACCTAATAAGATTCACTCTTTCAAGTTTCGAACTCTAAACTTCAGCGGTTGGATTCATTGAACGATAGATATTTTCCTAAATGAAATTAACCACTTTTGTTACTTTAATGATGTTCAGCTTAGAATGTGGAACTTCAACTTGGAAGGTTTTATTTTCAGTGTTGAATACTGTGCAGCATCTGATGCGTTGACGTTCGCTCCAGAAGGTTTCAGTGAATACTTCAATCAGCGTCGGCGATGGATACCATCCACACTGGCGAATATCGTTGACCTGTTGAAAGACTACAAAAATGTGGTCACTGTTAACGAATCGATCTCAATTTGGTAATTTCAATTCAGCCACATATTTCATGAAGGAATTTCATTGTGTTCGAATCAAGTTTATAAGATTTGTGAGAATGTAGCAATTTGTAGCACTTTCATAAAACCGAAAGGATTTGATATTTTTTGATGCGCTTAGAAAATTCATCACGAATGTATNTAATTTCAATTCAGCCACATATTTCATGAAGAAATTTCATTGTGTTCGAATCAAGTTTACAAGATTTATGAGAATGTAGCAAGTTGTAGCACTTTCATAAAACCGAAAGGATTTGAAATTTTTTGATGCGCTTAGAAAATTCATCACGAATGTATTTTCGTGCATAATAACTTTCCGATAAATTAGCTTTGAGTTTATTTGACGCATATATTCTTGTTGAGGTACATCATCTATCAATGCGTTATGTTTGTGTCGTCGGTCTTGGGTCCTGGCACGATCTTCCTGATGATTGTGGGCGCAATCTCGATTTCGTTCAATATCGATACCATATTGGCACTCATCGTTGTCACACTTCCTATGGCGTTGTTTTGTACGATGTGTCTAGTCGGAAAACCCGAAAAACAGGTCCATGACTTAACAAGAATGTGTTTTGTCAATTTCGAGTGAATCATGCAATATCATTTTGCAATATCGCTTAGTAGTAATCTACTGATCTCTTGAATTGACTGACAGATTCATATATTAGCTCAGTGGTTCTCAAAGGGGGTGAAATTACCTATTTTGGGCAATGTAGAGGTGTCAAGGGGTAATGGAGGGGTCGGGAAAATAGTATTTAATGCAGTTGGTATGTTATGATAGAACACCATTGTGATGGTGTTTTTCATCTCGGATATGTAAATGCGGTTAGTTGATGGCAACATTCAAATTACATCCATTTGTCTTTAAATGCCGTTTTCACAGGGTTTTCATTCTTTTCCTTGCTGTTACAATCGCTCTCATAGCTTTTATCACCAAAAGTGTTCTCTTCTGCTAATTTCTCATTCATTTTACTGAATAATTNTTTTTAACTCGGGTATGTAAGTTCAAACAGGGTTTTCATTCTTTTCCTTGCTGTTACAATCGCTCTCATAGCTTTTGAGTATCATTAGCTCGTCCTGGCCTAACACGGTTTTCATTCTTTTCCTTGCTGTTACAATCGCTCTCATAGCTTTTATAGTTTTCATTCTTTTCCTTGATGCTACAATCGCTCTCATAGCTTTTATCAACGAAAGTGTTCTCTTTAGCTAATTTCTCATTCATTTCACTCAACAATCAAAGTC